AAGATTCCTCAGTAAATTCCTTTTAGGCCAATGAGTATCTATTAATGAATAATAAAATCAGCCCCTAATCTCCTGCGCCCAGCTGCGCCTAAAGTGAGGAAATTTTTTCATATTGTTCATCTAGCGATTTCTTCAAAAAAGATGCCAANAAAGTGTGACAAAAGTTTGTCATGTAATACGGCTGTTCTTGTCGCTGTTTTTTCATCAAGAGCGATCTGAAGGTGTACCTGGAGGTGAGTCTTGTTTATTGTATTGCAGTTTTACTCCTGATGTATATGCATAACTCATGTTAATTATTAGATCCTGTGTAGTCGATTGATGAACTACTTCTAATGACAAGGTAAATTTATCGAGTAAATTTGAAATACTTCTCAAGATTCCTCAGTAAATTCCTTATAGACCAATGAGTATCTATTAATGAATAATAAAATCAGCCCCTAATCTCCTGCGCCCAGCTGCGCCTAAAGTGAGGAAATTTTTTCATATTGTTCATCTAGCGATTTCTTCAAAAAAGATGCCAATGCCTTTGACCCGAAGGGACCCCTACAACATCATGAGGCATGATGAATAGTGATGCAGGACAAGGACTTCAATCCGTAACATTTAGCGACAAAATATTTATTCTTCTTCCATTTTCAAAATATTAATTTTGTCCAAGAATTCCCAACGTTTGTACCACTGTGGAGCGTGGAGGTAAAGTCCGTCGGAGGAAAGACCTCGCGTATGAATGCGACCTCGAAGAAGCCGAAAACGAAGAGAAACATCTGTTCCGCCCTCACGGTGTCGCCTTTCCGGCTTGGTCTGGAGAGAGCCGAGCGAGCAGCACGTATCGCGACGAAAGGGGATCTTCCGAAGGGGAACTAAAGTCTTCTGCTCGATTCCAACTCGTGCTATTATCTACGAGAGGAATCCGGAAGGCATCTGCCGGTCGAAAGCAGCCATCCTTGCCCTCATCCGTGCCTCCCTCAGGAGACACGGATGAGCGCAGAAAGAGAGTCGACGAGGACAAAACCCAAGAATTTCCTTTATTTTTTTCGGCGGAGCGGAGGGCGATCTCGATGCGATTCTCCCCGTTCGCAGAGTATACGACCGGTTTTTGTCTCTCCTGACGTTTGGAAGGGAAAATAAGGAAAATAAGATTTCGTGGATCCCTTTCGTGCCAAATTACGGCACGGAAGCACGCCCTGCTCGCTCTTTCCCGCTCTTTCCCCGAGATGCGAAAGCGGCGGGACGAAGGATGGGAGCCCATCCTTGTGCCCATCGAAGCGAATGCCTTTAAATCGGTTTTCGAGAAGAACTCTGGTGTGGTGTCGGCGATGCCCTCGTGACGCCCACGTCGTTTCCTTGACGCCTTTCTCCAGGATATCGAGGGATGAAAAGCCAGAGAGGAGCTTGTTTTCCTTTCGATAGTAGAAGGTACCTCCCACCTTCTCTTTCAAAGTCTCCGCGCTTGCGAGTCTCTTTCTCTCTCTCTCGGAAAGAAGTTCTCATTCTTGCCTTTCTTGCGCTTTGAAGGCTCGCAGAAGGAATGGAGGACAAATAAAGAAATATTCACGTCGTTTCTCCGGGTTTCTCCGGGTTCCGTCGGCCTCTCGCGTCCTTCCCTTCGTCGCGACAGCACGCAACCGTGAATGGAAAAGTGAAAGCGAGATGTTCTCCCTTTCCGCCTTCCATTCTATCGTGTTGGAAACGAGAGAAGACTTGAAAGAAGGGATCCCACCGCATCGGAAACGAGGGGAGACGGGAATTCCCGTGGAAACCCATGGAATCTCCTCCTTAAGGAGGAGATTCCATGGGTTTTCCAAGTCAAATATGGATATAAGAAAGTGAATTGCGACAGGGAAATGGGGATGCATCGTCATGCAGCATGGGAGTGCGGAAAGAGGTCCGAGGAAGATCCCACGCGTCGCGAGTCTGTCTCTCGGGCGTTTCCTCCCACTTGGTGTTTCCTGCAGGAAAGCGAAATTCCTTTGGGGAATCTCGCAGCCTCTGCATTTCCACCATCCTCGGCTCCGGACGTCTTCGAGCGTCACATCGTCGTTCGAGTCCCTCGAGTCCCCATTCTTCGATGCGTGGACTCTTGAAAGTAGGAACTTCTCCTTCCCGGGTGATGCGTGTGGATGGCATTCGCGGTCGCAAGGCAAAGTACATCGTCACGATGGAATATTGTCTCAAATGAGAGGACCGTCGAATTCCGACGAGAAGAGAAAACGAAGTCGGTTGGAATGGTCTCGGGGGCACCACAGGAACGGTCGGCGCTTTATCACTCGATCCACAGGCTAAAATCGGAATTTTTCGGAAACCTAGGTTGTCGTTGCCGTTAACACGTAGCGGGATCGCCTCTCTGCTCTCTGCTCGCCGTGTCAGATTTCATAGGTGAACTCTTCCAAGTCGTCGTTGAGTTTTGGATATTTAAAAAATATTCGTTCTGGCATCCGTGGATCCAAAAGGACAAAAGGAATCGTCCCGCTCCTGCGTAGACACGACATAATAAAATTAAAAGAAAGTTCTCTCGCGTTTCAGCCGTCAACCTCACATTCGCCCATGGTTTCGTCGATTCCCCCAAAAAGAAAGAATTGGGAATTCCAAGTTAATAACAAATTGAGATATTATGGTGTTATACCAAGTGCGTCGAAAAGATAGCAAAGATAGCGATGATCACGCCACAACTCTTTCGTCGTTCACTGGAACGGCTCCGAAATGCCGAGCACTTTAGTACCTATGTTTCTTCTACGTGTCGAATTTAATAATCGTATCTAATACCAGTGACTTTTCCCCCAGACTTTTACATCGAGCCCGTCGGGTCTACAGATGAGGAAATGTTGCTCATTTTTAAGGAGAGGATCCTCTCTTGGGGGAATCACTTTGGGGCCTGCCCAGCCCTCGAGAGGTGGACAGGCCCCAAAGTGATTCCTCGAAACCGCTCGATATCGTTGCTTTTACAGGTGTATCAACGGTCCTTTGTTCCTCTCTTCAAAAAACAGCCATATTTAATCGGTAGATCGATGACGATCTTGAAGTCTCAGAAGTTGAAAAGAAACATAACTCTGAAAGCACTCGGTATGAGTGAGCTGCCACTGAAAAGACGGTACCGTACAGTGGTCATCGCTCGTTTTCCCACGCACCTCGTACGCTCCATCAATTTTCTTCTGTCCTAACTGTCTATTTACGGAGAAAGAAAGGAAGGAAGAGAGGAAGGTGAAGGCGATCTGTGCTTCCTTTCCGGACCGCCGTCAGGTGTAGAAAAAGCGTCCGAGGTCCAGTCGAAATGCATTTGATTCCGCTCGGACGAACGAGATCGACGATCGATGCGGGCTCCACCGCGTTCGCTCCTGCCGATGGCTGGCTCTTTCACGCGACGAGCGAAAACATCCAGGAACCCTCGGAAACATCGGAAAGCGAGAATTTCTCTCGTAAAAACGAGGGCCTTTCCGGAAGTTTCGTGACGACTGACGAGATCCGAATCGTTGGAGATTCCGACCGTGACGAATCGGACGAATCGAAGAATATAAGTAGGGTCGAGCCCCATTCGGACCGTTTCGAGAAATCGGGGCTTTTCTCTGGCGATCGGGCACCCTCTATTCGAAAGAGAAATGTCGCCGACCCTTTCTCTCGTTTTTCTGGCATCGAAATGCCGGGATGTGTAAAACGCCCCATAGAAGACGAATGCGATTCTCGAGCTTTCGGTATCTCTTCTGCGAGCCCGCATGATACGATTTACCCGCCGATGAGTCCGAGTGATTCCATTCTTGGATTCTTCTTCCATCTCCATCATGAAGATAAACGGGTCCTATTTTGCGTCTGCAATCGATCGTACGAAATGCCTTTTTTAGGATCCTTTCAAAATCGGTTCTTCCCTCTTCCTTCCGGACGAAGCGAGAGGGAATCGCCGGGAAGCACGTAGCGCTTCGAATGGCCATGTGAGCAAATAAATGCGCCGCGTTCGGTGCCGGTCGAATGCTTCGATTCTCTGCGGGTCGGCGTTCCTTCTCTACGCCTCGGAACTTTTATCGAACCTTTCGTCGTTCGTCGAGGGAAAAAATGTTCGACTTCGACAGAAACGAAAACCCGGAGTCCGCATCGATCCTCGGCCTCATCGATCGGAGCTTCTTGCGAGCGAAATAAAATGAACGCCATGCAGACCTAGAAGTATTTTCCAGGACCCGGCTCGAGTTCGGAAGCGCGCGAGAAGATGCGGTCGTGTCGTGTCCGGTTTCCATTTTCCGTAAATGGAATTCGTCGCGGCAGAGTGAAATATTCCGACGGTAACATGGAGTCCCCCCTCCCCCCCCTTTTCCACGTCTTAATGAGGCGGACCGCGGTCGGCATAGATTCCCTGCGAGCGAAGGAATCGCTATCCCCATCCGTCCAACGATGTTGAAGCCCTTTAGTCGCAGAAGGAGAATATTATTGCTCCGTTCCCGACACAGCCGTGCGCTCGCTCGCTCGCAGGGAGTGGTCGAGCTCATCCCGAACGCGCAGGACGATCCATGAACCTGCAAGGTCGTCGAGAAACACCATCACGCATCGTAACGTTTCCGTCTCGGGTTGAGATGTGGAGGATCTACGTCTAAAATCACGAACGTGCCCCCACCTCCGATTTGCATGGGTGTACCGAATAAGGTTGTATTACTCCTAGATCGCCTCCCTGTCGCACGGTTGTCCACGGAATGCACGCTTTTCTAAGAGCATGCTCGCTTTGCTGCTTGCCTCTAACGAATTACTTTTGGCTCGTTCCACATTTTCGTGTCGATCTTTTTTCATATTCGAAAGTCGAAATTTGTATCTGCAGTGTTCATGGACTTGAGAAATTGCGAAAGATTTTGATCTCTATGCCAAATATAAAATAAAACTACCGTTTTCGTTACGCAATTATGCCAAAAGTTTCAAGAGGTACAAACATCGTAACTGTAATCACGAGCCAATTCGAGAGCACAAACTTTAAGGAACGAGTTCCTTCGAGGCTGATTTATCGTTGATTGGCGATTCGCTTTACGAAGCAATGGGTGGATGTGAACTTGAGATGGAAGGAGGAGGATTACGGCGGAGTGAAAAACATCCGAATCCCTCCGAAACGGATCTGGAAGCCGGACGTCCTCATGTACAACAGGTAAGCCCTTTCGACACGAAACCTCGTTTTTGCGACGGACGGAGGAGGAAGCCTGACGGTTCGTTCGGTGGATGCACGTGCAGCGCGGACGAGGGTTTCGACGGGACGTTTCACACGAACGTGGTGGTTCGTAGCAACGGGTCCTGCCTCTACATCCCCCCAGGGATCTTCAAGAGCACCTGCAAGATCGACATCACCTGGTTCCCCTTCGACGACCAGCGCTGCGAAATGAAGTTCGGATCCTGGACCTACGACGGCTTCCAGGTGGGTTCCAGAGCGCGATCGCGTACGAATCCCGTAAAGATTCCATGGAGCTTTCGTTCGCCGTCCCGGACGTAAAGGAATCCAGCTTTTTCGCTGTGGAAAAGGAGAACGTAGAGTTTTTCCGGTTACGTTCATCGTCTACTACCCTAGTGTAGGTACATACTGCAGCCACGGGCCGGTGTGCACGGCTGCAACGTTTTTGATAATCCACGTTTCAACTTCCTCAGGCCCGACGAAAATAAGTTATCATATTTAGCACGTATAGATGCCTTTTGATCCGAAAAGGTTAACGATATTCCATGGAATGCTTTGTCGTGTGGAAAAAAGTAGGAAGCCGCCGTACGATTTGAAGCCGACAAGGGTGCTGGATTTTATGTTTCCTTCTCAAAAAATAAGTTCTTAGCATACTGTAATTTCCTTCCCTTCCTTATACGTGATGGGAATTCTCCTCTCGTCCCGGATTAAAAATGTGAATGAACGTGCTTGCGGTACCCACGAATGAGGTAAGGATGCAAACAGATTTTTTCAAATCGATTTTCGTGCGAAATATCGTATGGCTCGCACTCGTCGAATACGAGAAGAGTACGAAAAGGTCGAATGGATCGCTTTCCCGTGTTCATCGCCCGATCGACTTCATAATTTCCTGCTCTGTTGAATCTTCGCGAGAGTTCGGATGAAGATCCGGTTGAAGTCGCGAGTCAACTCTGATTATCTTTATCCGCTGGAACGTCGAGTTTGGAAGCGCGACGCGTATCCCGTCGTTAGACTCGAGCGAGAGCGACAGAGGAAGGGATGGAGGAAAAAAACGATGAAATCTTTATGAGTCCCTCTTTCCTCGTCGAGTTCTACGACCCGGTTCGAAGATCCTTCCCTCTTCGAGTCATCTCGCGAGCATATGGGCCTATCACGTCACGGGAAATCGGTCCCACGAGTGATCCCGGCTTAGAGGACGGTATCGTCCGAGAGCGAAAGTTTCTTTGAAATTCCGCGGCTTCGTTACGACGGAGACGTCTTCTGGGAACGGACGATTCCGAGATCGGGGGAAGCGTCGTCTCTTCGCGGCCTCCTCTCGCCGGAAGCGCCTCTTCGACATCCAGGGGTAATGCTTTCTGGGGATCGAGGGATAAGGCTCTTGGGATGAGCCTGCTCTCTTCCCTCTCCTTCTCTTTGAGGCGGCGTCCGAGAGAACGTGTCCTCCTGAGACCTCTAAATAATAGATGAGAGATGCTGCACTTCTCTCCTCTGAAGAAGATACCCTACGACACCTGCTTCTCCCGCATGTCGTCTCCGAATCCCGAGTTCGATGCTTCGAGAGTTAAAATGTGCAATATTCGCAGGGAACCGTCGGGTCGGACTTTTCTAAACTAGAACATCCACGGACTGGTTCCTTTCGGTCGAGTCCGACAGACCCAGGGGTTGTCTCGTATCGATCGTTCGCGACCCGGATCCCAGAGAATTGCATCGCTGGAAAATCTCGAGTCGAAAGATAGCTTATGTCTCTTTCTGGGGAATTAGCATCGGAATCGATGAGAAAGTTTAAGCATCCAGCTTAATTAGCTTCCTCGGGATTTTCTTGAGATGGGTGGAAGAAGGGGAATGAGTAAAGAGATTCCCCACGAAGAGAGAGGGCAATTCAACAAACGATCGCAGTTACTAGTTTTTTTTAATATCCCCCCGGAGAGGCGTCGTCTCCGTTCGGAGATCATATCTGGAAGGTGGACAGAGATTCTCGTTTCTGGCCGCATACCTCTTCGAATAGAGAAGACGTAGAAGCAGGTGCGATCCATTTCCAGGTATCGTCACTCGGACGTTGTTCGCTTTGGGCGTGAGTCACGATCGCAGGAGGCTGACGTAAGCAGTAATGCGACGGAGCGATTCCACACGAGGAATCGCAGAGCTTTCTTTCTGTCTGTCTCTCTCCTTGCACCTCGTGGCAAAGCCGATGATCGCATCGTGCCGGGCCTCCTGGAATCTCACGGAAAAGCCAAACGATGAAATGTAATGAAAGAGGGGATTCTCGAGACTCATCGTTTCGAGGCGAGATCCAGAATTCAGCATCCTTACCTTTCTCTTGCGTTTCCGTGGGCGGTCTAAGCGAGATTCGTAAGGACGTTTACCTAAAAAATATCATCGAGGATTTCGTGCCGATGAAAATTCTGCAAACGTTCGAATCGCGGCAAACCTGCTTTTCGAAAACTGTGGAGAATCTGAGCCATTTCACGTCGTAGTCGAACATTTCCATCGACGCCAGGCAGACGCCAGTGGATGATGAACGTTAAGAAAAAACTCCACTTTTTCCTCTCTCGCAACGAAAAGAAATATTCGAAAACGATTGTCAGATCCATTAAATGTCCCGAGCGAGTGGAATGATGCGAAGCTTGCCAAGGATACGAAAGGAACGGTCTAGAATGCAGGCAATCCGGATCACGATGATTGGTATGGAGTATTGAAAAAAGAGAAAGGATCGCGGCCAGTTGCTCGAAATTTGGAGGTGATCCCAGCCGAGACGGCATGTGTCGTTTCGATCCCCCGTGAATTTTTAAGAGACACGAGACGGACGGAGTCTGTTATCCCCGGAACAAGATGAATGACCGACCGTCTCTTTCATGGTGGAGGGAGGAGAAAAAAGTTATTGATGATCCCCGCGTTCAACAGTTGGCCCATCCGGTTTTTTTTTCCCCTCAGATCGACTTGGTCCTCGGCGAAGATTTTCAAGAGTCCGGCGACATTTCCAGCTACGTCGCCAACGGGGAATGGGACCTCATCGGTGAGTCTCGTTCCGGATGTCCGCGTTAAAGAGGCATTCGTGGTAATTCCTATGCGGAACGGCGATCGTGCAGACTTGCCGGGGAAGCGGAATGTGATAACCTACGCGTGTTGCCCGGAGCCGTACATCGACATCACGTTCACGATCCACATCCGACGGAGGACGTTGTATTACTGCACGAATCTCATCGTTCCCTGCGTCCTCATCTCATCGATGACCCTCCTCGGTTTCACCTTGCCTCCTGACTCCGGAGAGAAACTCACTCTCGGTACGAACGTTCATTATGCTCTCTTCACGCGAAAGCCTCACCGACAAAAAAAAAGTCTAGGCACGAGCTCGATTGGACATTTTCCTTGGGAATTACGAGGGATGACATCCAAAGGCCGATATACGAGAGGTTACCGGCTATAACTCTTAACGCGACGGCAGATGATACCGAGAAGAAATGTTGTCATGGAAGAGGAGCATGGGAGAGACCATCTGCAGACTCGATCAATGATTCGAGGGAATCACGGATCCCAAAGAAGGATTTTGGTGTCGTGGAAATTGGCTTCTCCGTTTCTACGACTGGGATTGCCGACGCGTCATCAGGAAGGTTTAAAATTTTCTCGGAAGGGTTCTCGGTGGAACTCTTTCATAGATGATCCCGAGAGAAACGGATGCATCTATCGGCTGCCGATGGCTACAGGAAATACGACGTTAGGGAGTCCGAGGATTCTCGCCGGTGGGGCGGGAAGGAGGACAGGGGATGAGATGACGTCATGGACAAAAAGTTGGAAATAAGCCCCGCCCATTGTTTCTTCTTGTCTCTCGTCGGGGCGGGACGACTCAGTCCTCGTTCGAGCCTCCCTCAGGACAGATCGTACGCCACCCTGGATTTCAAATGAAAAGTTTTCACTCCAACATTGCAGGAAGCTTTTAGCTAAGAGTCGGGATGCTCGAAATCGAGTAATGTTCGTGATTTTGAGTCGAATGCGGGCGAAATCGAGAGGGGAGGCCTCTGGAGCCTTCACTTATCGAGTTGAAAGCATTTCGTCCCATCGTAGATGCCGATGATTCTTCTTTGAGAATACGAGCATCGTCGTCGTGAGCACACGGGAGACCTTGAATGCGTGCTCTCCCGGTTACATTAACCGATTTGTCGGTGTGCGCCACTCCAGGGATGCTCCGATGTCCAACTTCCAATCACCACGGCAACGAAGAATCCGGCTGCGTCTCTGCGACTCCGAGCTACGAAGTCGGCAATATACTCGTACGTCGGCCTTTGGATCGCGTGCCGTTTCCCAACTTTCCGGAGACGATCTCACGGTTTCTTTGCGATGAGACTTTTTGTTCACACTTGAAGTTTTATTTTCGACGACAGCCCCGCTAGAATCTCGCGCGAAACGAGAGATCGAACGAATGGATTATTTTCTTCTCCGAGAGATCGTCACGCCCGATGGCGTCTGAGAATCGGTTTATGGGAACATACTGGATGGACAAAAACGCGTGCATCGCGTGAATTCATCGATTTCTGCACGATCTGATATGGGGAAAGAAAGCAGGGTCCCTCGCGGTAAATGTCAGCTGAAGCCCTCAACTTATTCCGTGGATACCTGTGTAAACATCTTCATAATATCTTCATAATTTTCCTGTCCCCCCCCCCCACCCCTCCCCCCCCCCCCCNATTCCCCCCCCCCCCCCCCCCCCCCCCACAAGCAGTACATATTGAAACGCACAAAGACGAAATTCAAGGCAAACATGGCCTATATGTCCAGACCATTCATCACTATGATCGTCGATTTTCGTTTTGAAGGAGTTTACTTTTGTAATTAGTACCGCGAGTGGTCGAAAGCAGAACCAATTTCTATTAGCATTTTTTGGAAAAGGCTGAAAAATTGTGACAATTCCGCATTTTCCACCTAATTTCTACACGGAGGACGGAAGAGTAACGGAAAGGCAACTCATTAACACTTTCCCGGAACAAGACGTGTTTAAACAGGACGTGTTTACACATCCGGATAAAAACAACAAGATCGATTCATGACATGTTTACAAATTAAGCCCAATTTCCAAGTGAGGTGGCGATGGGTGGCGACTTCGCCTTCGCAATTTCTTCTCTTCGTCGCAGGACCTGCTTTCATTTTTTCCCTCGATCGTGCGACTCATTCTCTAGACATAATAGGCAATCCGTGGCCTCAGTGTATTCGTAATGGTGCTAAACACTGTGCTCGTGTTTATCCCAGATAAAGAACAGAAGAGTGGAACTCGTGCGAAAGGAAACGACAGTCGTTTCCTTTCGCACGAGTTCCACTCTTCTGTTCTTTATCTGGGATAAACACGAGCACAGTGTTTAGCACCATTACGAATACACTGAGGCCACGGATTGCCTATTATGTCTAGAGAATGAGTCGCACGATCGAGGGAAAAAATGAAAGGTTAAGGGTGGATTTTTGGACAGAGAACTATCCGATAATGCTGCTTTATTTCCAGGAAATATCATGTATTTTCCCTGGAATAAAGCTGCATTATCGGATAGTTCTCTGTTAAAAAATCCACCCAAAGAATTTTATTGATCTCTAAAATTAAATGCGGGAACTAAAATCCGGGAAAACATTGAATCTGCACGCTCGATAGGCAACATTTCCAAGCTACCCCAATCGAAAACTCGGGTTGGCCAACGGGTAAAAGATCCACTTCTTGAGGATTCACCAGTTTTGGAAATTTCATTTTGCCACCCGTTGCCTCGAGAATGCTAACGAAAATGCAAATGATCACGATGATGAATATACGCGATGCGAGAAAGGACAGAAACCGTCCCACTCCTGAAATGTTCGAAAGATGCGGAAATGTCAGAGGGGCAGGGGGCCGGAATTCACCGCTCCGTTCGGCCTCATCGTGTCTATTTTAAACATGAATATTCATAGGATTATTTCCCCATTTCGAGGCGCTTTTCCCTACCCCGTCCACGGTACGATGCATACAGTCGAGAGATCCTGTTTCCATTTGTCACGTGGCAATGGAGCGAGAAATTCCGTCTTCTTTCCTCGAGAGAAACTCTCTCTCCGGCTTCCACGTTCGCACGAGTCCACGAATCGAGTCTCTTCTCCGACGGATCCGAGAACGAGGACCTTCTCGAACGGCGAAATTATTCCGAGGCGGAAGCTCTTTTCCGTTTCGAAAGACACTAAGCCGAGGAGACGTCGACAGGGATCCCTCTCTCTCTTTCGAAGAATGCCTCCCCCTCCAATATATACGTCAAATAAAAGACGAAGAGACTCGTTCTCCCTGTCGTTCCGAAGCCCCGAGGCCCGGATTCGGATCGAGGAATCGACCGAAGAAGAAATTCTCGGGTATTCCCGAGAGATCTTCGAGAGGAATCACCTGGGAGCTTGCAGGCGGCAGTCCCACGAGGGAAATGGGATTTTATGATGAATGTTATCGGAGAAGAGGAGAAGCTCTCCAGACTCATTACTCTCTTTTGTCAATATTTTGACATCCATGCTGCATCATTCCTCGGAAGGATTCCATTCATGCCCTCGTGACGACTCCTTTCATCTCGGATCGGGCGATCGCAAGGAAGTTTCCCATCCTTTCTTTTTTTTTCATCGTCTTTGATCGTGTGGATGTTTTCTTTCCAGGAGTGACAATCCTTCTATCGCTCACCGTGTTTTTGAACATGGTGGCAGAGAAAATGCCTGCCACCTCCGAAGCAGTGCCTCTCATAGGTATCGGCAAACGCGACCCGAGTTTTAACGATATTGGCTTCCACCTATCCTTTCTTTCCGTCTCGTTGCGTTACACTTTCTCTGCCTCGTTTCTTTTCCCTTCTCTTCTCCTGTGATCTTTTCCGTTTCGCGATTGACGGAGGCCTTGATACTCGCAGCCGGGAGAGCGCCGGAGAAAAGTTAACGTCTCTGCCGATTTAGTTTAGGAATTTGCGAGTGAAAGAGGGTGCGAACGGCAGAGGGAAATAGAGTGCTCACGTATTGATGTCTCGCAGGTGTCACGATCCTCCTTTCCCTCACCGTCTTCCATAACCTGGTTGCCGAGAAACTCCCACAAGTGTCTGATGCTATTCCCATTTTAGGTATCTTGCACCGCTCGCACATCTATGCTCTCTCTGCATTCCCCTTCTTCCGTATTCACATCTCGGCACCTTGGATCCCTTTCCTCGTGTATTCCCTGTGTGCGTCGATGTGCTGTATGATACCGACGACATCTCCCCGTTTATTTTGCCGTTTCCGAAGACGGACCTTCCGGCGATCCGCTCTGGCTGAGCGAGAAAATGGATTCCGCCTCACCCCTCGCGCGGTCGCACGGCGCCTTCGCAGATGCACTCGAACTAATCGAGCGTTTGGGTTCTCCGTTCAGATGGACGTTGCTTTAGAGCGCGCGAGGCGGAGGCCGACGTCGGCCACCGTTCTGCCCTTCGGTCGGTAATTTCGGTCTCGGACGATGACCACGATGCCGTGAGTTTGGCGATCGATTCGGTCATCCTCTACTTTCGTATCCTACGGAATTCGATGACGCGGCGAGTGAATCGGTTCGAATCGCTCTCGAGCGACCGAACATCTGCTCGCGCCTTGTAACATGCCCTTCCTTCCTTTACTGCGGATCGTGGACGTCGCATCGTCCATCCTCCGAGGAGCGATGCGGGATCTCTTTCTCCGAGTCTTTTACTGCATCACGCGGAAGGAGTCTTTCGGAACGGTTTTCGTATACTATGAATTGAAAGATGCAAACCCCTTCATGCCTTTGTCTCGTGCTTTCTTTCCTGTCGGATGGCTTCCTTGTTTTTTCCTTCTTACTCCTCTCTCATTTTATCGTATGGATGAGTGGAAGCGAGAATGACACTGTACATATCCCATGCTGGTGCTACTGCAGGTGTGACGATCCTTCTGTCTATGTCTGTGTTCTCCCTTATGGTCTACGAACTCCTTCCTCAAACCTCTGATGCTATCCCGCTCATAGGTCAGCCTGGTTCCTTCATTTCCTGCTCCTTCTTCCGATCATGAAAAGGACCTAAACAGACCCGTAGATTAAATCGCCGATCCGCCGTTGAGCCCTCTCGAGAATCGCCTTTCCCACTCCACCTCGTTTCACCTGTGCAGTTTTATTTCGGATTATAGACGGTCAGACTCATAAATCGGTCCCATCGATATAATAAAAAATAAATTATTCTTCGAGCCGGATCCGCAATAATTGAAATGATATGGTAAATATATATTGCAATTCAAAACTGCAATGTAGTCACAGTCGAGTTGGTCGACACAATAGGCACCCCAAATAACCTATTTATTCTTCTCAAAGTCCAGAATGTGTTAAGAAACGAAGGCATGCGACATGAGATACGGAAATGCACTGGTGTTCATGAGTGTTTCAATCAATTTAAGAATCGGAGATGATGGGTTTTCAGGCATCTTTCAAAGAAAATTGTGCATTTCCTGCCGTTGTGAGCCCCTAACAGACAAAAATCATGGAGCTTAATTTAACAACATTTATGTCCATATTAGCATAAGTAAAGAATATGATAGCATCTGCCCTGTGGTGCATATATTCAAAGCTTAAAAGCACATTCGCTTCGACCAGCAGCTTTTTCCAGATGATACAAGAATCAACCCGAGATTAAAACGTGTGAAGCAAAAAAGTTTCGACCGTGAAGACTTTTGCATTTTCAGTACTGGATGGGATATCGTGGGGAAAATGGGGCGGGGCGGGGCTCTCTCATCCTCCATGCCTTCCGTCTCGTTCATCGAGTAGGTTTCGCGAAGGATCATAATCTCCCTCAGCATCTCCCTTCCTTCAACGTACCCAAATAATCCATTAACATACGTTTCTACCATTTCCTTGATTTCCTTCTGATTTTTCTCCAGCACTCTTCCGTCGCGGTATCAAGTTGCCTCGATCCATTCCGTTCCCCTAAATAGACCGGGCGACGATAAAGCAAGGCTGCAGCTTAAACGAATCACGGAAATAAGCCGGAATGTATCCGCCGATCGTCGTATGTAGTCTTTCGACTTGCATGTCGAACGTGATCGTGATCTTTTTCGTCTCGTATCTAGGTCCAGCCTATCTTCTGCTGCATGTTCTTATTTACTTCGAACGTCGATTGCTGTAACTTTCCTTGGCATCTTCGTAGTCTAGGCCTAGGCGTAGAATCGATCACGCGGCGGATGAGGGCCCCACGAACTCGCGAAGTCGCGTCGCAGATGTCGTCCCGCATTCGGACTGGAATTTTTCATCTTTCGTCGAGATCTTGCGATCCTTCATCGCGAGAGATAATCGGTCCATTCGGGAGCGGAAATTTTCTTCCACTCGGACGGAAACGACTCGCCGAATCGTTTCCTCGGTGGCTGATGTGGAACTTCCCGAGTCGTCGAGCGTCGGAAGGATCGTTTATGAACGATCCTTCGCTGGTAATAAAGTCGCATTAGGGAAAATTCTTGTCGGTCTCACTCGTGGGTGGTGGATTCCAGTGGTTGATTCCACGTCACGGCCCCGAACACACTCGTGCCGTACCGATGATCGGAGCTCGCTGCTTCCATCGAGATCCATGCTTTCCAATTTCATTAATCGCAAGATGACGAAAGCGTCGCGGAGCTGTTTCTTACGTGTAACGTATCGGGAAGAGAGCATCGAATGAGATCGTGGAGTCAAAGAAGTAATTGCAAATAAGAAACCGGCAGTATATCGTCGAGAGGAAGCTCGATTCCGAAGGCGATCGATAGGAAACGAGCGGTAGCAAACCGTAGCCGGCGGCCTACCGTCGATTTCGACGGACCGACGTCGCATCGAGAAGTTTTTCGTTTTTTCCTCCTCGACTAGAAATACGTACAATGGATTTTCCGTCGGAATCGAGGTGCGTTGCTTCCCGCGGTGGAGTCAGTCGTTTCGTCGTACCGGAAACGTCGCTGTTCCCTTTACCTATTCATCGGCGTATTTTGTAAATAGAAAACCGTTTTCTTCGAAACTCAGAGTCTGTTCCCATTGTTTTCCAGACGCGGCCGCCGCAGGACGAAACTTTCTTACTTTCTCAACTTCTGAATTTGCGGGGTCGTTCGGGGTAAATGCGATGGCGCTTTCTGCACTTTCCACTTCCACCATCCTTCGCACAACTTTTAATTCGCATTCCCGAGTCTCGTTCGGTGGAAATATGAGACCGTCCGATGGCCACTCGAGACCTCGACGGCAAGGCTCGATTCCGAATGCACTCTGAAATACGGCCACTCGACCGATGCGGTCGCCGGCACGAGAATCACCCCACAACTTTGGGTCGTGTGAGATTCTCATGACGGAAAGAGAAAACACAAGGGCTCTATTTCCCCACGTCCTCGTGAAATCCCCGGACGATAGAATCCCTCTTCCCCGAAGTATCTGCAAGAATTCGTAGCTTTAGATGCCTGGGACGTGTGGCCTCGACCTCGAGTCGAACGTGCCACAATCCATACGGATGGAAGCGGCATCGTATCGCATTCAATACGGTACCGGAATCTCGCTTGCCGCGCAAGGAAGAGGCGCTCCGAATTTTCATGGATGAGCACGAATCACGAGCGGGAACGAAAACGGCGAAACGGTACGGGAAGTTTAAATCGCTACCATGCGAACGCTGGGATGAGGCTCACTTCCTCTCGCTCTCCCTTCCTTTGCTCCGTGCAGAGGCAAGAGGCAGGTTTTATACATGGTGAACCCTCGACGTACCGCCACCTTCGCTCACCGCCGACTCTTTCCTCTCGACAAATCCTCTCCATTAGCTTACGAAGGGCTGACCCACGATATAGCGCCACCCTCGCAAGCCGCCATCCGCCGAAGCCATCATTCGTACGAATGTGCTTTTTCCCGCATAAATCCTTCTGGATTTTTCGCTAAGTAGCATACTTGCTGCAACTCTCATCCGGTGATAAACACGACTGCATATGTGTTGCCTCCGTGAGAGGCGACTCGTGGCTGTGGCGGGGATGTTGCATAGGATGAGTGCAGAGCATCGGAGGAGAATGAGGATGGCATTATAAACTTCGCATCCATTTAGTGAATTTGTACTTCGGAGATTTCGATATCGTAACCACTAATCGTAACGCGGTTCGTTGAATATGGTGCCACCCGCGTCGTAGAGCCAATGTCAGCGCGACCGATGGTGGCGTCATATCGAGGGTTCACTGCATGTGACATTTTAGTTACCGTGTTATTTTTGTGGATCGCGTGAGCCGAAATGACATTTACCCCAGACGACCCCATTCGTCTCGTTGCTTTCCACGACTTTCTCGGAGGACAACCGAATGCTATCTTATTCTTCCTCTCTGGAATGAGTTGAAGGGCTGAAAGGCAAAGTGGTCTATCTGCAAGAAACAGTTTCCCAAACTTCAGAAGTATAAAATCATGACCTTGCGCTGTTAATTAACCCTTTCACGCATGGTGTCCACTATAGTGGAGGGCAAAATTGTTGGCGCTGATCACCAGCTTGCAGATCACCTACACCTTTCTCTACAAGTTTGAAACTGAGGATGCAGCTCGATCCTTGTCACCGTGCTGACTCTCACTAGCAAAAGCCAAGGGCGCCCTCTACGTGGACAGAAGGGCGTGTTCTCTCTTCTTCATCTCCCTCCCTACTCACCTGACTTGGCTAAATGCGACTTCTGAATCTTTCCTCAGCTTAAGCCCAGAATTGCTGATTACCGTTTTCAAGGATAGATTAACTAGCAAAGGTTGTATGAGCAGAACTGTCCAATATTCATGTATTGGACTGCCATCTCGCCTTTCGAAGAATAGTGCTACTTTTCCCCGCTTTCACTGAGCAAAAACAAATTCTACCAAGCTGCAACAAGATTCATTATACTGTAAATGGCTTTTAGGGATTCCATAATGAGAGCTAAAGAAGACTCGACTCACTTTCCTGTCGATTCTATCCTTTCTGTAATTCATCTCATTATCACTTCCGCTAATTTAGCAATTAAATTATAATTTTCAATCTTGCAGAAGCTGCTAGTGTGAAGTTCTACGTTCACTTATTGAACCACATTTCACATCATTATATTTCGCAAGCCTTACTATCGCATATCTCGTACTTTCACTAACATCGCATTTGATATCATATCTCAGGCCCTCACTTCATTACTTTCCACGGGTTTTCACATCGATAAAGCATCTCATGCAATTTAGCAATGCATTTCACACACCCACCTCGACAGAAAATTTTAGCGCCGTAGGATGAAATAATGTTCTCATTGGTGGCACAGCTAGCCACGAGGGGTTATGGACTGATTTAGTTTCCGATTAATAGGGAATTATTTGCCAGCAAGGAATTGTCTGATAAATCCTTATAAGTATTTGAATTCATTTTCTATATTTGTTTTATCATCAAAATTATTTAACTTATGGAGTTATACACGTACGAGTATATGGATCAGAAGTAACTACCGAATATTCAATGAGCAAGACTTATCATTACGAACACCTGATGAGACACGAAGGATACACGTTGACGAAAACAGATTACACAGCAAGCTTTTGCCATAATTTGGCGTGGGTTTCCCAAATTGCGAAGAGAAATTCGAATCTTTCATCTTTTATCATATACTACCCGATAAACATTGTAAGAAAAGCCATAAGAAATAGTGATGCAGTACAAGGATACTAACCTGTGACGTTCCATAGCAAAATATAATTTTCACTCATCTTCAAACCATGAATAATATCCAAGTAATGTGTACTTTAGTATTACTGTCCAAAGGTGAAAAATGAGGTTGTAAAGGTGCATCGATGATACGTTCATGATATATTATCACGCGTTTTCCATTGTTTTTGGCTTCTTGCAATAAAGCCTTGGTAGCAGAACTTTCTTTTTTATCATCCCATGTTATGGCTTTCCACGTCTGCCATTGCCAATAGTTTATGAACGTCTTGTTTCATGTAGAATACGTGCCTTTTTTGAGTTGTTGACTGCATATATCTTGATTTTCCCAAAATGTATATAGGAAATCTTGAATATTTTGCGGCTCCCTGCTAAAATGCGTTCTTCAGAACCTTGGTTTAACTGAGAGAAAATATTTAGACTCTTGGATTTGAGAGAGAAATGGAAGAGATTAAAGCCGAAGGAGAATGGTTTGCGTGTGAGCTTATTGGTCATTCCATGATGTTTAATCCAGGTAAACTCATTACTTAAAGCCCAATTCAATACATTCATGCAGACAGACCACTTTTCAATGCGAGCATGCCATTATTTATGCATTGTAGTTGTGGGGAGGAGAAGAGTTCCATGCACATAGACCACATTTCCCTTCCGAATCCAGAAAAATTTTTTTTGCAGATAGACCACTTTGCCTTTCAACCCTTCAATTATTAATACTTTCCTTTTTTCTCTCACTGGCACTCGGGAAAGAGATGTCGTAATGTCTATCGCGTTTCAGCTAGAGAAGAAAACTAGACGTAACTTCGGGGCGAAGGCAACCTTTTCCTACGTCGGCTTCCGTTTTGGTCGTCGGTCTTTTAGCTTGTGTCGCACGAGACCGTACCCCCTTCGAGCCGCTATAGAATGGCCAGTGTGCCGACGAGTCGCTCACGCGAGAATGAATGGACGACGGACGATGGAGAATTCCAGCCTCTCCGACTGCATTTTCCGCCGAGTCCAATTTCATATTTCGCTGCCTTCGACTTTCGAGGGAAGCGGCCTCGAAACCGCTGCAGGTCGCCGAGACGAAAATCTTCAAGGTTTGAAAACCACTCGGTCTGGAGCCCGGAACTCGGACCGCGTGCACGCCACCGCCGTCTGTCGTCAGCTCCGCGGCCGAAGAATTTTCTTCTTGAGACTCCCTGCAGAAGGCAAAGTGATGGATACGGGCTCTCGTCGTGTACCGAGAGGCGAGGATCATCGGCCGGCAGTCCTGCAATTCCGTTTACATAGTCATCCTCTGGTGAGCTCGGAACGAATCAAGAATCGGTTACTTTGCTTCTCTCCGCCTTAAAATAACAATGGATTCGGTCGATGGACGAATATTTATTATCGGTTTGTCTCCCGAACTATGTAAGTTACGAGGAATACCGAGTGAAAGTTGAACTCGTAGAGTTCTAGCCTAGACCTTAGAGACCCAGAGACAAGACAGCCGGAAGCGTGTGCAGTCACAAGATGAGAAAATTATTTAGCGACGAGCATGCTGCAGGGAAAGCGCACGATTCGCATCGATGAAACTGCATTCCCCGAACGATATAAGAAATGATCTTTAGACGCGACCTCGATACGGATCGCTCGGAGGGCCCTCATCCTTTGTGAATGTTTTTAACGAGAAGAGAATCGCCTTGGAGATTGAAAGCATCCCGACCCGTTCGCTCTCGGCATCTCGGCTTCACCGTCCGAGAGACGTTCCGAGAATTTTTTCTCTCTGCCCGAGGTGGATCTTTGAATCTCGAAGCGAAAGCAGTAACGATCCTCGAGTCATCCTCGAGTCGGAGGGCATCGACGGCGATCGTCGCGTTTCTTCTACTTCCCCCTTGGAATCCTCGCGGATCTCTTCGAGAGGGGGAAAGAGGAGAATCGCGGAATCACCGTCGGTGACTCTCCATCGTGTTCGCCGTCGCGACGTTTTCCGTGACCGTGTTCCCTTTCGTCTCTCAGGAACGTATTTCAATTGCATCATGTTCATGGTCGCGTCTTCCGTCGTCCTCACCGTCGTGATCCTCAACTATCACCATCGGAGTGCTGATACTCACGTGATGCCTACCTGGGTTCGAGGTCTCTTCTGCATCTCGCCGACGACCCGCTCGTACGGTCGATGACCCGATCTTGTTCCGTCTGTTCCAGGTGCGCGTTCTCTTCCTGGAATGGTTGCCCTGGATCCTCCGCATGCATCGACCGGGAAAGGAAATCACCTTGACGTCAGTCCATTTTCTTTCTTTCGTTTTTTTTGTCTGTGTAAGGTGAAGATGTGACGTCTCTTGTCGCCTTCGAGTGCTGCAGTTAGCGAAAGTACCCCCATCGTTTCTCTCGAAAGAAAGCAGCCTTCGCCGCGAGGCAGACATTTATTCCTTCTAGCTCCATTCGGTTAGAAGTGAGGTTAACGCGTCTTTCCGATTTTTTAGAAATTCTCGCTAGCAACGAAAGAAATCGTCATCATCTCACCGGTAGACCCCTATTCAGAAGAAAAATATATATACTCCACGGTTGTCGGTTTTTCCGACGCTCTCAAAATCCTAAATCACGTGACGGTAGAGACCAAGCAACGCAGAACTAAGCACTTTGAAATACGGTTTATCCCAATTTGCCCTATCGCCTCGAACGAAACGCGAGAGCATAATGCCGTGGCGATTTCGTTGCATCCGTCTTTCCTCGATGAGGATTTCACCTACTGACGATTTTCATCCGTTTTCTATCCCCCGAAAACGATAGGAACATCATGAAGAATCAACGGATCCGAGAGATGCAATTGCGAGAGCGGTCGAGCAAGAGCCTGATAGCCAACGTCCTAGACGAAGACGATTATCGTCCTGGACTCGTTCAGGGAGGAAGATCTCGAGTGCCGTCTGCATTCGACGATCCGGGATTCGCCTCGGGCGCAGGAGGCTGCGGCTCCTCGTCGTGCATGGCCGGCGTCAAAGAACTCGGACTCATCCTCAAAGAGATCAGGCTCATCACGGGGAAGTTACGGCACGAGGAGGAGGAACACGAAGTGATCGGCGATTGGAAGTTCGCTGCGATGGTCGTGGATCGCATCTGCCTCATCATATTCACCCTTTTCACTGCCATCGCTACGATCGTCGTTCTCCTCTCCGCCCCCCATCTTCTCGTAGCCTAGCTTCCACCCTTTCCCTGAGATCGCTCGCGACGGAAGCCGTCGCGAGCCGATTCCAAAATCAGCCGTCGCTTCGAGAATGTACCTTGCACCTGGATTCCGCTTCCCCCCCCGTGTCGGCAGAGAGCGGGGGAGAATCCAAACGTCTGCAAATCCATCGGCGGGAGACTTCGCACCCCCATCCGATCTTCTGCTCGCTTTCCATGGAGAAATGCGGACTCCACCTCTCACGGTTCATTCTAGAAACGCGGATGGATTTTCGAAAGTGGAAGACAATGCTATTCGTGTCATATTTTGTTTGCGTTCGGCAACGAAAGACTTCCGTCGTTCCCTTCCTATCCTCTCTTCCCCTAGTCGATTTTTGCCCCAAATAATCTTAGAAGCGTTGCCTTTTTCTGCTTATATTATATTCCAATTTTGCGGTTTATGAAGGCTCGAAAGGTCGACGATACTTCCAGGTCGAGAAATCGTTTAGAAAGTTGCACTTCGAGGAACGTTAACCCGATGATTTTAGCTTGTGCTCTTCCCTGTTTTCGGCCTTCCTCGAGATTCCTCGAAGGCTTAGACGATGAGGCGATGGGGTTCATCATCGAAAGGCGATCGGATGTTCACCTTCAGAGCCTAATTACGCCGTGAGAGTGGGATATCCTCGAGAGACTTTCCCGGTGACGGAGAGAAAGGCCGTAAGACCGATTCCCGGTCGCCCTGTACAGCGTTGTTTCATCATCACGTTTTCCCTCACTTTATCTCTTGTTACGACGTTTTATTCGAGATCGTCTTCATATCAGATGCCTGTTTGAAATGCAAATGCGACCACGTGGTTCACGAAGTTCTGCTCAATAAAAATGCCAAGTTCTCGACTATGCCTCGATGCTCCTCCGAATTTCCTTTTCCGAAGCTTAGCGTATTTCCATCGGATGAAACGCACGATGAAACTATCGCGAAAGAATATCTGGTGGCGAATCGCAAAAATGAAGCTCCTCGCCGCTTACCAAGGGTAACATATCCTGCACAGCAAAGTAGAAACATACAAGGAGGGGTACAAATGGAAGACACATATTTGTGTCCTTCGGGTTTTCATCCGTACTTGCGTACGGTTCAGACATCGGTACGTTGCAGACGCAGATGTCCTGGCTCCCAATACCGTACTCGAAGTAGGCATAAGATGGCGTTTATGTTCCCCCCGAACATTCGAACTCAATTCAGAACGCACTGGATCTTAGGAGAAGAGTTTTCTTCCTTTCCCTTTATTTTTCCCATCATGATACCTGTAAAGTAGTATTTGGTAAAGGTATAATTATCATGTCTCAATGGGAATCAATGATTCTGGAAAATTTTTAATGCTTGGGTTTTGCACGAGGACAGCGAAGTGTAAACTTACAGGTTAGGCGTTTTACTCCCGAACGAAAGCTCAGCCAACTTTCAATAAACGTGCAAGATTGGCTTTACAAAGGTTTGAACTTTCCACATACTGTATCCATGATAACAAGAGAAGCCGCTGTTACTGAGAAAGCCACCTCATCCTGTTGGAGATGTTGCCGAGTACTCATCGTTAACGTGATGGTAAGAGGAAATCTACCCTATCCGTTCCCACAATTCCCAGACCGTCGGAGACGTGATACCGGATGATGTCGCCAAAGTCTACTTCAAAGCTCCTCTAAGCTGAAGATTGAGGTTCATTAGCAGATCTTTGAAACGCCCTTAAGTCCGAAACGCGGTACGCATGGGATCATAAAGAAAAGACCCCATCCGTACCTTCTGACTAGAGATAAGAAGGGTACACATTTGTGCATTATTTCGCTCCGGTACCTTTTCGACGAATGTATTTCACGACATACGTTTGTACCTCATACCGTACAAAATATGTACCTCACTGTATGTTTCTGCTTTGCTGTGTGAGTCGAGAACGATTCGTGCATGCATTTCACAGCCGTGACGCTTATATATAAACGCCTTTAGATCGACCGTGTGGAAACCAAGCCGTCCGGAGCGAGAAGTGACTCTGGCGTTCTGGGAGAGGCTCCAAGTTTTCCCTGACTAGTGAGAATACTTTCATTTAACCCTTTCTCGAGTTTCCTTCCATCTCGAGAATGACAAGTCTCTGGGGAATCATCTCACGGATTTCCATGAAATTTGACATGCAGCATGACCTCACCCAGCTTAAAATCCCGGTTGAAAGCAGCTCTAATTTCCAGCCGGGTCCCAGCTGGAAATTCGGACCCATTCCAACTGGGTAACAGAGGGAAAGTAAAGTCAGATCCAGATTGCTTCTTAATTGCAATATCACTGGTGGAATGAGAATGTTTTTGTTGGTTATTCTACCCGGAGGTACAGCTGAGTTTCAGCAGTAAATTCAGCCGTTTTTCAGCTGGAGGGTCGTCTGTACAAAATCATAACTGGAAATTTCCAGCTGAAATGGCTATTAATACCAGCTGCATTCCGATTGGAAAAATCCAGCTGTAAAACAACGGGTATATATTTCCCAGCTGGATAATTCCAGTTGGAATTTTAAATTCGCACCGAGAAATGAGGCCCCGTCGATTTCTCTGACGGGCATTCTTGGTCTCCGAGATATGAAGTTCTATGAAGAATTCCATTAATGATATATAAGATTATACATGTCTGCACCTGGCCTATGTATGGCCCTGTAAAATTTGGCGTTCATATCTCAAGACATCATCATTCAGGCTGCCTAAAAGAACACACACACAGAATAGCGGAAATTTTCGGAATTTATTGAGTATCGGTGATCATTATGGAAAGTAAATTTTACAGTGTTTTTCACTTGAGTTAGACATTTTTTCACTTGACTTCGACAACAGTTCACGGTGAGGGTGATATAGCGGATCGACGCAGAAACTAGGAGTTCCATTCTTAAGTTTAGATGTCGTGATGACATTGGCGACAACGATGATGATTAATTTCCTGATTTGGGCATCGTCCCTGGGTTCTGAAGTATCATTCCCCACGCCGAACTCACGTAGGCTAGATTAGACCTATCTAACGTGGATCTGGAATTGTCCATCGAAGTCCGATCCAGTGTTTCTACATCGTTGAGCCGATGGGAAATTGAAAACTTAGAGCTTTTTTTTTATTTAAATAGACTGCAAGGAAGGTTGACAACATGGCTATGCATGTGGTTCATCGTATCCAGTACATAGTTTGATTCATATGAAAAAGCTTAAATATTCGAAGTAGAGAAAGATGTCGCTAGTCACCAGGGGCACCTGCGCCATCGCCTCCTCTCTGAATACCCCTCGCATCGGTGTCTTAGTCAAGTGAAAAATTGTCTAACTGAGGTGAAAAACACTAAAAAAAATGAGTTTGAGGATTTGCAGCAAACCAAGCCAAAAGTTGAGTTCCGCACAGGATTAAAACCCCATCTTGATTCTTCTCCCGCTCTGGATGCGCTCGTCAGGCGAGATCCCTTCAGTGATCTCTTTTTCACCCAAATCTACTTACCATTAAAGAGGAACAAGGCTCAGCCTACACAAATAGGAATTCCGGGGCGTATTTATCCTCAACCGATGGAGTGGGGTCCTTCCTCTATGATCGTCAGGAGTCTCTCTGGGCTATTTTATCTCTTTACACGAGTGCATTCGGGAATACCAGTGTCTTCCCTCGAGTCGTCTTAGGAAGAAGATGGAGTACCGCGCGGGAAACACCGGGGACACATCGCGAGTCACTCCTCGATGCCATCGAGATATCAGCCACTTCGGCGTCATCTCGATTCGTTCGTGGGAGTCTCGATCGTTCGAACGGCTTCGATAGATGGCCTGCCCGCAGATGGGACGCGTCTTCGTTCTAGACTTTCTCGACGATTCGTGGCAGCTCTCATACCGATGGGTTCTCGATGCGGGTTATGGAGTGGATACGATCCACCTTTGCTCGGCGTTGTGAGCTACTTTGGATCCGATGCAGGATGGATACGTGACGTCACTTCTTAAGAACACCCCTCTTCACGACGCTGACGGGTGGCTCGTAACCGATAGCTTGCGTGCAGGTTTGCTAGCCTGGACCACGCTCGAAAAGAAGTGAAACGAAGTTTGTCGATCGCTTGCCCCATCCCATGGACCCTTCAGCCCCACCGACGGACTCGTCTCGCCTTCGCAGTTCACGCATTCGTTGGGTGTCGTCGTCTCGAGGTTTCGCTCTCGACGGACGTACTTCGCCCCGACGAAGCCGTCCGTGCTCCGTTCTCACGATTCGCCGAGTCCTAATACGTACGAGAAAACTCCATGCCAAATATTTTCACGGTTGTCGGCGTTCTATCGAACGCCGATCGGAACCAAATGGTGGAGATTAGAAGATGTCTCAGCGATTCATTTTCCCTCTGGTTGGAAGGGATTTGCGGTGATGCCATTCGACATGTTGCTTCCCGTCGAGCGTTCCCCTCGCCAGATGTGCCGAACGAGCATCACGTAGCTCCCTCCGCATCCATCGCATTCGTATTAAAATTTCAAGCGATGAATCGTCTTGGTTTTTTTTTTCATCGAAAGCGAACTTAGAAAGAAAGAAAGAAAGCGAAAGACGTGCACAGTTTTCTTAAATCCCTCCGAGCCCGATGAGTGCTTTCTTTCCTCGAGGCGAGAACTGAGCAATGTTTCATGTTTCTTCCCACTCGTCGAGGGGTGGAAAGTTCTCTCCTCCCACTTCGACCTTCGTGCTTTCCCGTCGCTCCTCATGCATATTTCAGGCGCAATGCATCGCGGGGGCATCCATTATGAAAATCCTCGACTCGGACGGATCGACATCATCACGCATGGAATTGATATTCATCCGTTGCGTCCGAGGTAGGGAGCTCGTATTCGTCTGTTGCACGAAGATTCATCCTCGTGTTTAATGGATCGAGTAGCGGATGATGAATGCCGGGTCGCGTTTAATCTATGATGCATCCACGAAACGCGATTCCATGAAACCTTCGAGGCACTGCGAATGTACAGAACTTCCGAACGGACGACGAAAACGCCAGACGGTGAAACAAATATCGATGTGCAATATTC